TTTCTCCTCCAGTTTTCCTTTCCCACTTTTTGTTCTTCTTGAAATTGTTAAGGTCAGTTCATGTTTATGGCATACAATGTCCACTTTCGCTTAGGCTATCGGAACCTTGGACCTGGCATATCTTCACACCAGCTATTTCCCCATCCCTCACCCTCACTCCTTGCTTATCACCCTGGACCCCTTCCCATTTGCACAAGATCCATCCCCTTGTCTCTTGCTTCCTTTACTTTTCTCTCAGTGTGTACTTTGCCTTACTTAGGTAAGAGATTCATTAAATTTGTTTGTCTGATTTACTTCACTTAACATTGTACATTCTAGGTTCATCCATTTTCTTACAAATGTCTCACGTTTGTCCTTTCTGGCTGAGTAGTGCTTCATTACATATAGATAATATAACTTCTTTGTACAATTGTCTGTTGACAGGTATAAAAAGCTGTTTCCAGGATTTAACTACTATGAATTGTGCTACTATAAGCATTGGTTTGTATATATTACTGTACTATCATGCCTGAAGAACTTTGGGGAGGATTCTTGGAAGGGAAATAACTAAGTCACATGGAATTTCAAATTTTAGTTATTTGAGAAATCACCATACAGAATCCCATAATGGTTGTAATAGTTTTTATTCTCACCAACAATGTAGGAGAGCTTCTTTTTTACCACAGCCATGTCAGCATTTGTTACTTTTCGATTTCTTGATGATTACTATTTTTTTCTGGAATAAGGTGAAATCTTAGTATTGTTTTAATTTGTATTTCTCTGATGTCCAGAGATACTGAAATTTTTATATACTTGTTGGCCATTTGTACTTCTACTGTGAAGTGTCTATTCATTTCATGTGTCCATTTCTTGACTGGGTCTTAAATTTTAGGTGGTCATTTTTTGTGTGTTCTTTATATATTCAAGATATTAGTCCTCTGTCTTAGGGGTAGCTGGAAAAAATATTTTCCTATTCTGTACATTTTTTTTCTCTTTAATAACTAATTCTTTTGCACTTGAGAAACTTTTTAGACTAATATAATCTTAAGTGTTGTTTCTTGCTGTTATTTCTTGTGCAATTGTGATTCTGTTTAGACACTCCTTTTCTACATCTATGTCTTCAAGTGTTTTATCCATTTTATCTTGAAGTAGGTTTAATGCTTCAGTTTTAATGTTTATATCTTGGATCCATTTTAATTTTAATTTAGCACATTATGAGAGAGATGGAGCCAGTTTCAATATTTTGCAAAGAACCAGTTTTCCCAGTACTACTTCCTGAATAGAAATCTTTCCTTCAACTTAAGTTTTTAGCCCCTTTGTCAAAGATCCAATAGTTGAATGTGTCAGGATATGTTCCTGTTTCTTGTATTCTGGCAGTTGATCCACATATCTGATTATTTTTTTCCTTTACTTTGCCATTTTTAACACTACTGCTTGGTAGTGTAGCTTAAAGTCTAGTATTGCAAGGCCTCCCACTTTGCTCTTGTTGCCCAAAAGTGCCTTTGGTAGTTTGGTTCTCTTCTCATCCCATATAACTAGTAGGACTGCTTTCTCTAGTTCCGTAAAGTATGTTGTTGGAATTTTGACTGGGACTGCACTGAATCTGAATAACAGTTTTGAGAGTATAGCCATCTTGAAAATATTCATTCTCTCAAGCAGCAGTGGACATCATTCCATTTTCTGATATTCTCTCTTCAATTTCTTTTTTCAGCATACTGGAGTTTCCTTTGAGAGGTCCTTCATTTCCTTGGTTCAGTTAATTCCTAGGTATTTCATTTGTCTTGAAACTACTGTGAAGTATTTTTACAATTTCCTTCTCATAGAGTTGATTACTAGTGCACACAAATGCTAATAATTTTTGAGTGTTGATCTTATTTTCATTTGTTGCTGAAGACAGTTATTAATTCTAAGAGTTTTCTTGTGGAGTTACTTAGACCTTCTAAGTAGAGTACCATATCATCTGCATATAATGATCATTTGAGCTCTTCCTTTTCTTTCTATATCTTTTGTTTCTCTTGACTGTCTTTTTAGCTAATATTTCAAGTACTATGTTGAATAAAGGAGGTGACAATGGGTATCCTTGTCTTCTGGTTTTGGGGGGAATGCCCTTAGTTTTTCCCCATGTAACATGATACTGGCTATTTTCTTGTCATGGGTAGCTTTTATCATATTTCAGGTATGGTCCTTTTATACCTGCTTTCTTCAAGGATTTTTATTGTGAAGTGGTGTTGAATTTTGTCAAAAGTCTTTTCTACATTTCTTGATATGATCATGTGTTTTTTGACCATACTCCTGTTTATGTGATGTATTACATTTCTAGAAGTACATATGTTGTATCATCATTGCATCTCTGAAATGAAACCGGCTTGATAATGGAATATCATGTTTTTTATAATATCTTGCATACTGTTTCTTAATGTTTTATTGAAGATTTTTGCAGCTATATTCATTAAAGAGAATGGCTAGTAGTTCTCTTATTATTTGTAACTTTCTCTAGTTTTGGGATCAGGGTGATAGCAGCTTCTATATATGGCTTTGGGAGCACTCCATCCCTTTCAATTTTTTTTTTTTTAATTTTAAAGAGAATTTAAAAAAATACCAAAGTACCAGCAACATAGACAAAAAACAAAACAAAGCAAAAACAATAAGGATGATACAAGGTTTCAGAACAAAATGATAGGGATTAGCAGTGGTTGTTGTATTACATATTTTTATCTTCATTAAAGTTGGTCAGATTACCACATGTAAGAATGCAAGATTTAAAGAGAATAAAAAGTAAAAACAAAAAATTATAAATGGTACAGTGTTTCACC